CAGCTTAGTGATAAAGCCAATGTTTAGCATGCATGAGGTCCTGGGCTCAAACCCCAGTACCAAAAACAAATAATAATAAAAGAATATAAATGGATAATCTGTGGCACAAAGGTAAACAGAAAATGAATATTTTGCAGGTAGATATAGGGAGAGAGAAAAAGTGAATTTCAGCAATTGTTATGAAGGTCATGTGACCACATTAAACAGTATGTTTCTCACCTGATCTATGACATTCATTTGTCACTTAATATTTTCCTTTTTCCATTTAAAAATGTGTTCATGGCCTAACTTCCAAATTTTATATATATATATATATATATATATATATATATTATATATACCCATACACATATTTGTTTTTGAGAAGGGGTCACATTATCTTGCTTCAAACTCCTGGACATAAGCAATTCTCCTGCTTCAGCTTCCTTCTAAATAGCTGGGACTACAAGTGCATGCCACCTTGCCCACCTTTAATTTTCTTGAGGAAAGTGACAGCACGTTATAATTCTACTCATATACAGAACTGCACACTGCATGCAGATCATTTATATGCACTACTCTCATGTACTTAATCCTATCTTTTTTACAGTTTTTTGTTATTTTTAGAGACACATGACAGTACAGTGCATTTTGACATGTTATACATACACGGAGTATAACTTATTCTAATTAGATCCCATTCTTGTGGCTGTACATAATGTGGAGTTTCATTGGTGGTGTATCCACATATGAACATAGGAAAGTTATGTCAGATTCATTCTACAATAGTTCACTTAATTCTATCTTGTATACGTACCTTTTATCTCACCAACTAAATTATAATCTCCTTGAGAGCAGGATATATATGCTTATTTTGCATTCCCCCACAAAGCTTAGCACAATACTCTGTTCAAAGCAAATACTCCTTTTCTGTTGAGTAATACAACAAATGATAAGTAATTAACTAATTGGTTCATTGGCAAGTGCCTAGAGAACAATAAATCCTACATTATCTTTAAGAAATATCTCAGGGGGGGCTGGGGATGTGGCTCAAGCAGTAGCGCGCTTGCCTGGCATTCGTGCGGCCCGGGTTCGATCCTCAACACCACATACAAACAAAGATGTTGTGTCCGCCGAAAACTAACTAACTAAATAAATAAATATTAAAAAAAAAAAAGAAATATCTCAGGGGGGCTGGGGCTCAGGTAGCGCGCTCGCTCGGCATGCATTCGTCCCGGGCTCGATCCTCAGCACCACATACAAACAAAGATGTTGTGTTCGCCGAAAACTAAAAAATAAATATTAAAAAAAATTCTCTCTCTCTCTCTCTCTCTCTCTCTCTCTCTCTCTCTAAAAAAAAAAAAAAGAAAAAGAAAAGAAAAGAAATATCTCAGGGGCTGGGGTTGTGGCTCAATGGTAAAGCACTTGCCTAGCATGTGTGAAGCACTGGGTTAGATTCTCAGCACCACATATAAATAAATGAATAAAATAATGGTCCATCAACAACTAAAAATATATAAAAAAGAAATATCTCAGAAGGTTTACTATGACAGAGAAAACTCATTAGCAAACAACACTGTTAACAAAGGTTTTTAGAGATGTCTTCTGCTTAACAGTCATCAATAAAATCTACAGCTCTAATAATAAAAATGTCATACAGGTGGAAATCAACTTATAACAAAAAGAATTAACCTCTGAATTGCATATAAAAACACATTAAAAAGATAGTGCACTATGATCAAGCAGGTTTCATCCCAGGGATGCAAGATTAGTTCAATATATGGAAATCAATAAATATAATCCACCACATCAATAGACTTAAAGACAAGAATCACATGATTATCTCAATAGATGCAGAAAAGGCATTTGACAAAATTTAGCATTCATTCATGTTCAAAACACTAGAAAAACTAGGGATAATAGGAACAGTCCTCAACACTAAAAAAACTATATATGTTAAACCCAAGGCCAACATCATTCTAAATGGAGAAAAACTGAAAACATTCCTTCTAAAAACTGCAATAATACAGGAATGCCCTCTTTTATCATTTCTATTCAACACAGTCCTTGAAACTCTAGGCAGAGCAATTAGGCAAAAGAAAGAAATTAAGGGGATATGAATAGGAAAAGAAAAACTCAAACTCTCCCCATTTGCCCATGACATGAACCTACATTTAGAAAATCCAGAATTCAACCAGAAAACTTCCAGAACTCATAAATGAATTCAGCAAAGTAGCAGGATATAAAATTAACACCCATAAATCAATTGCATTCCTGTACACCAATGATGAGTCAGCTGAAAATTAGGAGGACTATCCCATTCACAATAGCTTCATAAAAAAAATACTTGGGAATTATCCTAAAAAAAAGAGGTGAAAGACCTCTGCAATGAAAACTACAGAACATTAAAGAAAGATATTGAAGACCTTAGAAGATGGAAAGATTCCCCCATTTTATTGGACAGGAAGAATTAATGTGGTCAAAATGGTCATACTACCAAAAGCACTATACAGATTTAATGCAGTCCATTTAAAAATTCTAATGACATTCTTCATAGAAATAGAAAAAGTAGTCATGAAATTCATTTGGAAAAACAAAAGGCCCAGGATAGTTAAAGCAATCCTCAGCAAGAAAAGTGGAGCAGGAGGCATAAACTCTACTACAGAGCTATAGTAACAAAAATGGCATGGTATTGGCACCAAAACAGACATGGACACCAATGAACAGAGTAAAAGACACAGAGACAAACCCACATAAATACAGTTATCTCATACTAAAAAAAGGTGGCATAAACATGCATTGGAGAAAAGATAGTCTCTTCAACAAATGGTGCCAGGAAAACTAAAAATCCATATATAGCAGAATGAAACTGAATCCATATCTCACCCTGCACAAAACTCAACTAAAAGTGGAGCAAAGACCTCAGCATTAGACTAGAAACCTTGCACCTACTAGGAGCAAATGTAGGCTCACTACTCTAACATGTTGGCTTAGGAAATGACTTCCTCAACAAGACTCCTAAATCACAAGAAGTAAAATCAAGAATCAATAAATGGGATGGTATCAAACTAAAAAGCTTCTTCAAAGCAAAGGAAACAATCAAGAATGTGAAAATCTTTGCCACCTGCACCTCAGATAGAACATTAAACCTTAGGATAGATTATATATGTGTATGTGTGTGTGTGTGTGTGTGTGTATACACACACACACACACACACCACAAAAACAAATAACCCAATCAATAAATGGGCAAAGACATTGAACAGGCACTTCACAGAAGAAATATGAATTGTCAGCAAATATATGAAAAAATGTTCAACATCTCTAGCCATTAGAGAAATGCAAATTAAAACTACACTGATATTTCATCTCACTCCAGTCAGAATTCACAGGAATACAAAAAAAAAAAAAAAAGAATACAAGCAATAACAAATGTTGGCAAGGATGCGGGGCAAAAGGTTCACTCATACATTGCTGGTAGGACTAAAAATTGGTGCAACTACTCTGAAAAGCAGTATGGAGATTCCTCAAAAAATTAGGAATGGAATCACCATTTGACCTGGTTGTATCACTCCTAGGTATATATCTAAGGGAGTTAAAATCAGAATACTACAGTGACACAGCCACATCAATGTTTATAACATTCCAATTCACAATAGCTAAGCTATGGAACCAACCTAGGTGCCCTTCAACAGATGAATGGAAAAAGAAAATGTGGTGTGTATATACACGATGGAATATTACTCAGCCATAAAAAGAAATGACTATGCCATTTGCTGGTAAATGGATGGAGCTGGAGACTATCATGCTAGGTGAAATAAGCTAATTCCAAAAAACTGAAGGTCTAATGTTCTCTCTGATATGTGGAGGCTAACACACCACAAGAGGGGGAGGGGAAGAATAGAAGTTCAGCCTTTAGACAAAGAGGAATGAAGGGAAGGGAGGGGAAATAAGAATAGGAAAGACAGGGCTGGGGTTGTGGCTCAGCGGTAGGGGGTTCATCTAGCACATGCAAGGTCCTGAGTTCGATCCTCAGCATCACATAAAAATAAATAAATAAAATAAAGGTATTGTGTCCAACTACAACTAAAAAATAAAATAAAATAAAAAAAGAATAGGAAAGACAGTAGAATGAATCCAATAACACTTCCCTACATACATATATTAATACACCACAGTGAATCTCCACATCATGTACATCCATAAGACTGGGATCCTAATTAGAATAAGAAATTCTTCATGTTTGTATGAATATGGCAAAATACATTCTACTCTCATGTATAACTAAAAAGAACAAATAAAAAAAGCTTCCACTCCTACTTTTAATGATGTCATCTTCTAAAGTTAATAATTATATAGTTCTCAATATTAATCATAACTACTCAAAGTTTCAGGTAGCCAAGGATGATAAGATTTACATATCAAGCATTTTCATGCACTGAAAAATTGCTACAAGACTAGATGATTTCTAAAGCCTTTTTTAGGTCCAGATTTATATACAGAAGGCAAATGCATCATGGCTTACATTTTGTCAACTGAAAATGCACAACTAACTCCATGATGACTAAAGGAGGAAACCCAGAAGGTAAACAGAGGCAAAATGCAACTTTGAAGATTGTGTGATAGCAGCAGATTTTTAAAAACATCAACAAACAACCCAGAACAACTGCAAATAAGAAGGCTCTTTTCAGGCAGACTATGAATGTAAGAGAGTCACAAACAGAAACAGGTGTTTCAGGTCAAGGATGCTGCCACAAATAAATGGCAGGTGTGACTTGCAGTGGTTGAAAATGATGTTTAGCTACATATCAGTCTTTTCACCTTCATCCACCCCCACACGTATTTCAATCACGATGAGTAATATCACTGTCAGATATAAGACAGAGAGAAAAAGGTCAAATATAATATCCTATAAAAGGCCAGTGACACCTGACTTTCTTTTAACATATTACATCTCATCACTTTTGCATTTACATATACAAAATACCCCACCATAAAGCCCTGGTGCCCATGACACCTACTGATTCTGCTTGGTAAGAAAGCACTTTGAAGAGGTCATTCTCCACAGCAGTCTTCTGCATGATTAAGTGGTCCTCAGAGTAGCTCCTCTGCACTAATTTGACATATAATTGCTCCAGACCCTGGAAAATAAAACAATACCGCAATGTAATGATGAAACTAACAAGAGATGTTACTAATAATTGCCGCAGCAAAAAATCAATGGTAACTTACAGCCATGGCAGCTTGAAAAAATTCATCAGCGATCAAAGCATTTCCAACATCCACCCACCCTTTTCCTGTTCTCATATTCATCTAGAAGAGAGAAGTTAGAAAATAGTTTTTAAAACTTCACACCTCCCTCAATCTGGCTGGAGAGTACTGGAGAAAATAATTAATCTTGTCAATATATAGTCACATAGCCCACGAAAGGAAAAAAATCAGTACTTATTAGAGTTGTGTGTTCTGCTTTGAACACCACAATTTAAAAGAAAGAAACTTAAGAAAAGCAATAATAACAAAAAATTAATAGTCCTGATAACACATCTACTAAAATATTGGGATAATTTATACAGGAAAAGAAAGTTTTGAAAACTTGATGCATGCATAATTGATATAATTATATAATAAGCATTAGACTATGGTTCAACACACCTGGGTTCTAGTTTTTAATTTCATCCCTAACACAATTTTGACTAATCCAACATTAATACTAAGTATCCTTTACATGCCAGGCACCCTGGAAAAGCTAACAGTACTATAATTGATAGATATTTAAGTAAATAGTTGATAAATAATATACAAAAATGCTGTGGAAGCAAAGAAGAGCTGGATCAAGATGGAGGACAGAGCATATACTACAGTCATCCCTTCTACCATAAATCCCAGAGACTCAGGAGTTTGAGGCAGGAGGATGTCAAGTTCAAGGCCAGCCTCTTCAACTTACTGATACCCTGTTTCAAAATTTAAAATAAAAAAAATTAAAGGACTGTGGATATAGCTCTGTGGTAGAGGACCCATGGGTTCAATCCCTAATACTGCAAAAGAAAATCAGAAATATCTATATACTGCTGCAGGGTGATCCTAGGAAGTAACATTCAATTGTCAAGTGGGGGGAAAAATGGACAAGAATACACATGAATGCTACAATTTATCTAAGAAACTGGAGGTGGGGAAGACACAAGTTATGCACTGGGACTTGAGCTCTGGGTCACTGGTAGAGCTTTCTGCCTGGCATACATCAGGCTGTGGGTTCAATCCCCAACACTGCAAAGAAAAAATAATATTAATAATATATACCTGTTTTATTATATTTAAAATCATAAGCAATAAAATAAAATGATTATCTACAAGAAGAAAGAGAAAACACATTTTATTGTTTATAATTTTAAAATATAATCAAACAGGTATATATTATTAATATTATTTTTTCTTTGCAGTGCCGGGGATTGAACCCAGAGCCTCATGTATGCCAGGCAGAAATAAGCTAGACTTATTTAAATATACTTTATTAAGTAGATTTGTCTTTGGAAGCATATTAATCTTTCAAAATTATAAAACAAAATTTATTCAAACTGGAAAAAATCAGTAAAAATCAAAAGTAAATAAAAAGAAATTGACCTAATTATCTATCAAGTTGAAGGCACAATCATAAAGCAAGAATTACTTCAAGTAACTTCTTTTTTGTTTTTTGAGCTGGGGATCTCAATATGTTGCCCTGAACAGCCTCAAACTCCTGATCTCAGGTGGAAAGGCTTCTGCCTCAGCCTCCTGGTCAAGTAATTTAAAAGCGGTATTTTAAGACTATTAAAACCATATGCTGGGGTTGTGGCTCAGTGGCAGAGCACTTGCCTCACACATGTGAGGCCTGGGTTCAATCCTCAGCACCACATAAAAATAAATAAACAAACAATAAAGATATTTTTAAAATACCAGATATTTTTAAAAAAATAAAATAAAATCACATTTTGGGCTGGGACTGTGGCTCAGCAATAGTGCATTTGCCTGGCATGTATGAGGCACTGGGTTCGATTCTCAGCACCACATATAAATAAATAAGTAAATAAATAAATAAATAAACACCAACATTTATTTTAAAAAAAAATCAAAGTTTGACTAATGGAATATATTCTGAGAATAAAAGAAATATGAAAAATCTAGGTCTAAGTGTGTAGATCAGTGGTAAAGTATTTGCTTAACCAGTATGAGGTCCTGGGTTCAATCCCCATCATGAAAAAGAAATTGTTTTCAGAAATCATATTATCTGATAATGTTGATATTACTATATTCTGAAACTATTATAAATAACATATTTTAGGATGAAATAAATTATTCAGTATATTAAGGTTATAAGACAGTAAAAGATATACAACAAGGGGCTGGGGTTGTGGCCTAGTGGTAGAGAGCTTGTCTAGCATGCTTGAGGCACTGGGTTTGATCCCAGGCACCACATAAAAATAAAACAAATAAAATAAAGGTATTGTGTCCCTCTATAATTAAAAATAGATATACAACAAAAAATCAAGAAGGCTAAGTGAAATGCTATAATATTAAATACCATTTAAAAATTTAAGTAAGAACTCATGTATTTTCTCTTTTTTCAAAAATATGGCCAGGTGCTTGTAATCCCGGCTACTTGGGAAGCTGTGGCAGAGAGACTGAAAGTTCAAGACCAGCCTGACCAACTTAGTGATAATCTGTCTCAAAATTAAGAAAAAATAAAAAGGGCTGGGGATGTAGCTCAGTGGTAGAGCACCCTGGGTTCAATATCCAGTACTGAAAAAAATATATTTATATATGGATATAGATAGATAGATATGTGGACATATAGAGATACATAGATTTTTTTGCATTACTAGGAATTGAACACATGAGCCCTGTACCACTGAGCTACATCCTTGGCCCTTTTTAGTTTCTATCTTGAGGCCAGCCTCAAGCTTGTGATTCTCCTGTCTTAGCTTCTTGAGTTTCTGGAATCATAGGAATGTACTACCATGCCCAATTAAGAATCTCTATTAAAAGTAAAGAAAGCTGTTTGGAGGAATGACTGATTCCAGGTCCACGACAGGAATTATATCAGATGAGGCTGCAATACTGTCATATTAGAAATTAAAAAAAAAAAAAAAACTATTGAACTACTAGGGTCATGTCAGAAGGATTGAGAACCACTTCAAGTGGTTCCTACCAGTAGGTCAAAGATAGAGCAATATGCATCAATAAAAATAACTACAACTGAATAAAATTCATTAGCTATATATATTCATATAGATTTTATTATATACGGGGTGAGAGTGCTGGGTATTGAACTCAGGGCCTCATGCAGACCATAATGATATATTTCTTTAAAAAACTTACTTGGGGCTAGAAATGTAGCTCAGTGGTAAAGTGCATGTTTAGTATCCCCAAAGTCCTGGGTTCAATACCCAGCACAAAATTTTAAAAAAATATCTGGCTACTGTTTAAGATGTTAGAGAACCTACTCATTATTTCTGAAAATGACTAAAGGGCAAGAATCAAGCCCTTAGTTTGTCTTTCTTTATAAACTACACTTCACCCCAAAAGAATTAACTATTTCAATTAATGAACAAAGAAGGAACACAGAATTAGAATTAGAATATCCAAACCCCTACAGAAATATCAAATATAGAACAATAATCATCAAAGGGCACTAACAGAACAAAAAAAAGTGATAGGTGGGCATTAGTACATCATACCACATATAAATTATTCTGACAAAATGCAAACCTGAATCAAAACAAGTTTCTTGATCTAACTACCAGTTCACAGGAAACTGAGGACAGAGGACTATATTTCAAATGATATCATGAGGATGATCATCAGAATCCAGAATTTAATAAATTCTACAGGACAAATACCCTGGCTTCTTCAATAAATAAATTTCTTCTACAATAGATTTTTTTATTTTAAAAAGAGAGAAAATATGAAGTTTAAAAAAGACAGATTAGGGGCTGGGGTTATAGCTCAGCGATAGAGTGCTTGCTTCAAGCATGTAAGGCACTGGATTTGATCCTCAGCACCACATAAAAATAAATAAAATAAGGCTGGGGTTGTGGCTCAGTGGCAGAGTGCCTGCCTCACACGTGTGAAGCACTGGGTTCAATCCTCGGCACCACATAAAAATGAATAAACAAAAAAAAATTTAAATAATAAATAAGTAAATAAATAAAATAAAGATATTGTGTCTATCTAAAAAAATAAAATAAAAAATAAAAGAGACAGATTAATAAAATACAAGATGAGAATCTTCTTTGGTCCTGATTCTATGAAACCAACTCAAGGGTTCAGATATTCTAATTCTACATTCCTTCTTTGTTTAATTACTGAAATAGAGAGAAACTCCCTCATTAACTACTTAGTTACCCCAAAACATGGTTTGTACCAAAAGACAAACTAAATGCTTGTTTACTGCTCTTTATTTAATAGTTTTCAGAATAATAAGTTGGTTCTCTAACCTGCTGAGGGCAAGGGGTTGTGGATCTGGATGTTTAATGATTTCAGGAAATCTTTGTGTTTAATGATTTCAGGAAATCTTTGTTAGATTTTATAAGGTTTAATAGATATTGGATCTGTTGAATAAAAATATATCTTGTCTTTTAGACGAAGATACAAAATTATACATTTTGGACTTGCTTTAAAATAATCCATTGGGCCAGGAAGTTATTGTTGGAGGATATAGAAGAAATGAATGACCATGAATAGAGGATTATTCTAATTGAGTGATTGGTAAATGAGGGAATCACTGTAATTATCTTAACTGAGTTTTGTGTACAATTGAGCTTTTCCATAATAAAATACTGCTTCATAGCTGAGGGTGTAGTTCAGTGGTAGAGTACTTGCCAAGCATGTGGAAGGCCCTGGGCTACATCCCCAGGACCACCAAAAAATGCATGCATGTATAATGATTTAAAACACTGGGAAAAATATTTTTCCACTGAAAAAACATGATTGCCTCCAGGGAACAAGACAGTAGACAGAGAGGAACTGAGCAGAAAACTGCTGTTTTTTATTACTGTCATTATTTTTCTGAAAATTTTAATTTCACATAAATATATATATGTATTATTTGGGGGAAAATATTTATTTTTGTGATGCTAAAGATCCAACCCAAGATCTTCAGAATGCTAGACAAGCACTCTCACTGACCTACACACCAATCCTTAATTTTTTTAAGTAATAGAAATGCTAGAGGAGGACTTCGAGTTTCAGCCATAATTGAATAGTTTGTTTCAGACTGAACTTCCCACTGAAAAAAAAAAAATATTTACAAAAGTTGGGCAAAATATAACTGTTCAGGTACATTACAGTGGCTACATTTTGGCAAAAACAATGAAAACACACAAGATGAACCCCATATTCAACCCAGCTTTATTATATGACATACTATGTGGATTTTTCAGGTAATTGTAATTATATCCACATGGGCAAATATACAGTCTGTCTATTGTATATTTACCTGCCCATTTTAGTTTATCCAGCACTTCTCAAAAAAAAAAATAATTTTAACCCTATGATACTCTAAGGTAGATATTAGTATTTTCACATTACAAGTGAGAAAACTAAATAATCTCCCAATGGCACATAGCTAGAAGTCACAGAACTGGAATTCAAATCTAGGTCTCCAGACTTCTAATCCTGCACTCTTGCTGGGTGCAATGAAGCACACCTGTAGTCCCAGCTCCCTGGATGCTGAGATAGGAGAATCACTTGAGTTCAGGGGTTTCAGGCCAGACTGGCCAACATAATGAGACCCTGTCTCAAAAAAAAAAAAAAAAAAGTGGAAAAACAAAATCATATAATCTTTACTTACTTAATAATTCAAATTTTTCATTAGACAAACTCTTCTAAGCCTAAATAATACCATTCCCTTGGATAGAGAAACTGACATGCTATCAAGTTAGAGGTGATAGGCCAGGCACAGTGGCATTTGTCTATATTTTCAACTATTGGGAAGGCTGAGGCTAGAGGATCACAAATTCAAGGAGAGCCTGAATAATTTAGTGGAATCCTGTCTCATAATAAAAATAAAAAGGGCTAGGAATATAACTCAGTGGTAGAGCACCCTGGGTTCAATCCAATCCCCAGTACCCTCCCAATGCCACCAAAAAGAAAGAAAAGAAAAAGAGGTGATAAAAGCAAAAAGGAATTCATAAATCCAGATTTATACAATCAATATGTAGTTAGTTTACTGAATCACAGTAATAATAAATATAGAACTGCCCAGATCTTCAACTGTAATAGATACACTGATGATAAAAAGAACATCGTTAGCACTAAAGGTTTCAACCCCCTCCAGTTTTATACTAACTTCAACCATTTTCATCAGAGTAACAATTATCTCATTTCATCTACACTTTCTCCTCAATCAACTAGGACTTACCAAAATCTGTCTTCGAAGAGCTTCTTCTGAAGCAACTGAGACTTCACACATACACACCAATTTGCAAGCAACATGACATACTGCAAAACAGTAATTAGATACCCATTAAAAACAAAACATTCATTCTCCTTTTATGTACATCTATAAAGAGGAAAGATGATTGAAGTGAAGCCAATTTTTTGGTTTAAAGAAAAAAAGTCTGAACCTGGGCATGGTGGCATATGCCTTAATTCCAGTGATTTGGGAGGCTGGAGGTCTGCAAGGTCAATGCCAGCCTCAGCAATTTAAGGAGACCCTGCCTTAAAACACATTTTCAAAAAAATGTGGTAAGAATGTAGCTCACAAGTAGAACACTTCCAGTTTCAAACCCCAGTACCACCAAAATATATATTTCTTTGTTTGTTTTTGTTGTTTTGTTTATTTTTGTGGTGCCAGGGATTAAACCCAGGGCACCATGCATGCTAAATGCTCTACCACTGAGCTATACCCCCAACCCCCAAATAAGAAGTTTAAAGGCCTTTTTAAATAATCAATTTTCAAAATGAAATGACCTGACACTTACCAAATGAATCATTTGCTTAATGCTCCAGAGAGATATTTAATTCTCAAATTTTAATTTCTGTACATATTAACTCACTGAAGATATTGATTCCATAAGATGCTCTTGTATGTACCATGCTAACAAAAGAATAATTCTAAGAGGAATCTAGAGTTATTCAACATCTGACAAAAATCTCTTGACATCAGGAAGGATAGTTTTAGATTTTTCTCCTAAAATGAGAAGCTTTCTAAGAATGTATTTTCTTAGATGACACTAAAGTTCTTGAAGTATGATTTAGAAAATAGAGATGGCTTCATTATACAGATCATTTTCCATGAAAATAGGCAAATAAGCAAGTGTGAATAATTTTAACTTTTTTTTTCAGTGCTGGGGATTGAATCCAAGGATACTCTACCACTGAGCTATATTCCCAACCCTTTTTATTTTTTATAATGAAACAGGATCTCACTAAGCTGACCAGGCTGGCCTCAAACTTGCAATCCTTCTACCTCAGCCTCCCAGGTAGCTGGGATTACAGGTGTAACCTCTTTATTTCTGTAGTTTGTTTCATCATAAATCATCTCTAAGTTTTAAAAAATGACTTTACCTATAATTGAACTAATCACTTTATGTGAGATCTCAGCAGCCATTCTTCCTATGCTAATACAATTTCTAATAAATATTCCATCATAAAAGAGACAATCTGCCCAGCTGAAATTACAGGGAAATTGATTGGAGTAGTCAGATTTCAACTGCCCATCATGAGATGCAAAAACTATTTATATTTCTCTCTCTCTCTCTCTCTCTCTCTCTCTCTCTCTCTCTCTTTGGTATCAGGGATTGAACTTAGGGGCACTTGACCACTGAGCCACATCCCCAGCCCTATTTTCTTTTCTTTTTTTAAAATATTTTTTTACCTATACTTGGACACAATATCTTTATTTTGTTTATTTGTTTTTATGTGGTGCTGAGGATCAAACCCAGTGCCTCACATGTGCAAGGCAAGCATTCTGCCACTGAGCCACCATCCCAGCCCCCCAACCTTATTTTGTACTTTATTTAGAGATAGGGTCTCACTGAGTTGCTTAGTGCCTTGCTTTTGCTAAGGCTGGCTCTGAACTCACAATCCTCTTGTCTCAGCCTCCAGAACCTCTGGGATTACAGGCATGTGCCATTACACCTAGCTGCTATGGATCTCTTAATGACATTATTTTGTTCTAAAAACACATTTGATAAAATTATGTCTAATCATACACTTACACTGACTTGAATTTCCAGTTTTGAAAATATTTCCTTTCTTTTTTTTTTTAATATTTCCTTTCTTTTAAAAAAATTTTTAATTGTCTATGGGCCTTTATTTTATTTATTTATTCATATACAGTGCTGAGAATCAAGCCCAGTGCCTCAACACATGCTAGGCAAGCACTCTATCACTAAACTACAACTCCAGCAAAATATTTCCTTTTTTTCAATCAACGTATATTAATTCTTTAGTGTTCTCCAGGCCCTGAACTCTCAATTATTTCCTCTCTCAAAAGGTATGTTCAGTACCACCCTCTCAATTTCTCCCCATTCCCACATTCAAAAAAACATCAATTAATCCCATTGTGTTTCAAGCTTGCATCCTATTTCTCCTTATCTTTCATTGCCAAACTTACTTAGTTGAATATTTATCCAATACCTCTATTTTCTTGCTACTCAATCTGTTTTGCACCCTTATCTCTTCACTAAACCTGTGCTTCCAAAGACCACCTTCCCTGATTTCACAGGAACATCTCACAATGACCATGACATTTTTGAAAAATACTATCCTCTTGTTCTGAGCCATCCTAGTTCAGTATTAAGCAATATCCCTGTACAGGATATTGCTTAATCTAAGAACTTTGGTCCCATCCTCACATTCAAGATCCAGGTGTTTATACTGATTGCCGATAAGCCTTCAAGCCAAAGACACCTGAGGCTGAAACAAAATACTACTTTAGAATAAAGATGTTTTCTTTGTTGTTGTTGCTCTATTCTTCTCACCAATATGTTCTTTGACCTTTTGGTATTATAAACATCTTGGTTAGGTGTTTGCTGATCATTACTTTGAACATCTGTCTTACTTTCTTCTACCAATATCCACAGCCTGATATTTGAGTTGACCTAAACAAACATAGTGTTGTACTCTCTGGGATTTATTAATGTTTTATTTTTGTTATTGTTTGGATATGAGGTGTCCCCCAAAAGCTTCTGTTAATGCAGGAATATTCAGAGGCAAAATAATGGGATTATGAGAGCTATAACCTAATCGGTCCATCCTAGTTTGAATGGATTGACTGGGTGGTAATTGTAGGCAGGTGGGACTGACTGGACGAAGTTGGTCACTAGGCTCTGGAAGGGTGCATCTTTGCTGTGGCCCCTTTCCACCCCCTGCTCTCTGCTTCCTTGCTGCCATAAAGGGAGAAGCTTCCCTCTGTTGCATCCTTCCCCGATGATGTTCTTCCTGCCTCACCTTGGGCCCAGAGCAATGGAGTCACCCATCTATAGACTGAGACCTCTAAAATTGTAAGCCCCGAACAAACTTTTCCTCCTCTAAATTCTTTTTGTCAAGTGATTTGGTCACAGTAATGAAAAAGCTAACTTTAAAAAATTATTGTTTATTTAGTGTTAATGCATTACTTACTAGATCCTCAAACATAATTTTTTCCATGGTTTCTCTGTTCTGGAGTCTTACCTTGTTCCTTTCACCTATTACCTGCCATAACATGGTATGACAACCCAATAATGAGTAAATGGGCACTCAATAAATGGGTAATGAGTCTCTAGAATTTTTAAATCACATTTTGGTCTTCTGTTCTTATTCTTTTTCTTCTCAGTAATTAAATGGAAGATTCAAGATTTTAAAAAAGTCACTAATCACTGGGCTTGGGGAGAGTACCTGAAATTCCAGCTACTCAGGAAGCTGAATTAAATGGATCAAAAGTTAGGGACCAGCCTGGGGAACTTAGCAAATCCTGCCTCAAATCAAAAGTGCTGGGGATGCAGCTCAGTGGTAGAACACTTGCCTCATATACAGAGAGGCCCTGGTTTCTAATCCCCAGTACTTCCAGGGGGGAAAAAACCCTCCATACTCTGTTTTTTTCCTCAATACTACTGGTTCTTAAAATTTGGTGGGCATGAGAATTCTTTTTTCATATTATAGACATGCCCAGGATTCATCCTGAACCCAAATGAATCCAAACCACCAATGGCGGGGGGTCAGCGGGGCTGGAGTTGTGCCTCAGTGGCAGAGTGCTTGCCTAGCATATGTGAGGCACTGGGTTCAATCCTCAGCACCACATACAAACAAATAAATAATATAGGTACACCAACAACTAAAAAACATTTTTAAAAAATATCAATGGTAGGGACTGGGCATCTGTATTTTTAAGAGGCTTTGCAGATAATTTCAGGTTATACCAATATTTAAAAATCACTGCTATTTCTTTTCTCCCTCAGAGAATCAATTACTCTTGTAGCTTCAACTATCACCCTCATGTAAATAACTGCCAAATCTACAGGTCCAGCTCAGATGTTTCTCATAAGCTCCAATTTCACATCTCCCTTGTTGCTGCAAATGCAACAGGTCTAAAACTGGAATTTACAAGTCATTTTTCTACTTCAGGCTTTCCTATTTTTGTTAATGATTCCAGAACATATTTCCATAATTCTTCCAAATAATAAAAAAGTAGTTTATAAATACTGATGAATTATTTCATCACAGAACATAATCCAGGCACATTGAATTTATTTTAAGGCAACAAAGTATCTCCATATATATATTAGAGGTTTGCTGCACTGCATATAATTCTCCACTGTATTAACAAAGCACTAGTTGGGCACCTATAATCCCAGCCACTCAGGAGGCTGAGGCAGGAGGAGCGTGAGTTCAAAGCCAGCCTCAGCCAAAGCGAGGCACTAAGCAACTCAGTGAGACCCTGTCTCTAAATAAAATACAAAATAGGGCTGGGGATGTGGCTCAGTGGTCAAGTGCCCTCAGTTCAATCCCCAGTACCACCCCCCTACACATACAAAAAAAAAGCACTATACATTTAACAAGCACCTAAATATCTGAGGAAGCACTGACACATGCAGCTCAGTGCAGTGGTTCATGCCTGCAATCCCAGTGACTCGGAAGGCTGAAAAGCAAGAGGATCACAAATTCGAGGCCAGCCTGGGAAACTTGAGACCATGTTTCAAAATAAAATAAAAAGGGCTTGGGATGTAGCTCAGTAGTAGAGCACCCTTGGGTTCAATCTCCAGTACCAAGAAAAACAAAGAACTGATATATGAAGCAGGACAATACACTGGGAAAGATCGTCGGGTTGCAACACCCATTTTATCTATATCAGAGTCAAGAATTAATGTATTTTGCTGGCTGTGGTGGTGCACACCTATAATCCCACCAGCTTGAGAGGCTAAGGCAGGAGTATTGCAAGTTCAACCCAGCCTCAGCAACTTAGTGAGGCTCTAAACAAGTTAGAGAGACCTTGGCTCAAAATTAAAAAATAAAAAGGGTTGGGGATGTGGCTCAGTGGTTAAGTGCCCCTGGATTCAATCTCTGGTACCAAAATTTTTTTTAAAAAAATTAATGTATTTTAATATCACACAATTCACCTACATACTAACTTTCTCCCACAGATAAATCCTAACTCTTCCCTCTCTATAACTCAGAATCCAAGGCTTGTTGGGAACAATGATATTTACATATACATTAAAGAGAAAGAATTATTCTTTAAACATCCTAATAGAGGAGTAAATCATGAGTAAGCATATTATTAATTCTATTAACCACCAATTAATGTATACCTACATTGAAATTATATACAGTTTTGTTTGTATTTACAAAGATAAATACACAGTAATAAATTCTATTTGTTGCATACAAACAAGTCATTTGTCTTTACAAAGTCAAGAAGTAGAGATCCATCCTTTGATTCACTGCCTGAATGTATCCTGTATATTGGGACAATATACTTTCATAAATCCATTTGTTGTCACTATTCTTGTTGAAAAAAAAAACATTAATTATCAGTACACTAGACCTTGCTCATTTAGCCAAAGCATTAGCACTTTGTCAGATAGTAAGCATTGGTTTTTCAAGCAAACAGCTTCCCTTTCTACATTCAAATCATCCAAGATAATGAGTCTGGTTTGGGATTTGGGTTTTGTAGTTATTGTTCTTGTTTTTTACCCGTGGAAGTAGAAAGAATCTTTAGTTTCTCTCAGTAACTCATTCCAATGTTTATCAACCTACTTCTCGAGGAAACTATTCTTTTCAGTGTTAAAAATTTAAATCCCTCACATTGCAACACTTTTCAATCTTTTATTAATGGAGAGGGGAAACTATTCAATGGTCCTTCATGTCCTGAAGATTTTGATCATTTATTTTCCAATGGGAAATAATCTATGTCCTTACACATTCTCTCCAGTTTTCATTTTCCCATCCTTTAATCATTTGCCCTCTAGACTATCTTGTGGTGATGCCCACAAACTCATAAAGAGCTAACCTCTGAAAAATCATAAAAACTGAGGAAAGCTATTTGCTTGAAAAACCAATGCTTATGAATTATTTTGTTTGATTGTCTTTTAACAAATCTCCTAGAAGTGGTCAAAACATTATTCAAACTGTGGGAACATTATCTAATGTCTAGTAAGAATACTCCTCAAAATGAGTCACAAAATGTATACATACGTACGTTTAACTGTCTGCTCTTCACTCATAAACAAACCTATTCTTCTGGTAACTGCCCAGTTCCACAGGTTTACTGCCATTTCTTCAATCTGGACAAACAACAAAATATTGGATTTTAGTTGATGATATATATACCAAAGCATTAGGGGATAGGGAATTGTACTGAAGTCAGCAACTAACTTTGAAATGCATCCAAAAAATTAAGATGGGTTGATGGATAAATGGACAGGTGATAAAGCAAATACAATAAAATGTTTATAACTGTAATAGCTCAGTGGCAGAACTCCTGTCTAGTATGCATGAGGCCCTGAGTTCAATTTCCAGTACCACAAAAAGGAGAAGAAATAAAGTGTTTACAACTGTAGAATCTAAGTGTTTGTTAAATAGATGTCCACTGTAAAATTCTTTTAATTTTGTTTGTTTATTCATTTGCTTTATTTTATTTTATTTTTGAGATACTAGGGATCAAACCCAGAGCATCAGACAATGCTGTACAACTGAGATACATCCTCAGCCCTCAGCTCTCTTTTTTGAAAATTTTTATAATTAAAATGTTGGAGAAAGAAAAAGATTTCCTTTTGTGATACCAAAAACATTACATACACTCTGTCATTATATCTATATACATTTTAAATATAGAAGTTATTAAATAAAACACATTAAATTATGGTAGTTATATTAAAGTGGTATGATTACAGATGATTTTTCTCCATTTTTCAAACTTTCTATAAGTTGTTACTTTATGACTTTAAATAATTCTGTATTTTTCCATATTTTATTAGAAAGGATATGGCAAGGGGCTGGGGATGTGGCTCAAGCGGTAGCGCGCTCGCCTGGCATGCGTGTGGCCCGGGTTCGATCCTCAGCACCACATACAAAAAAAACAAAGATGTTGTGTCCGCCAATAACTAAATAAATAAATAAATATTAAAATTCTCAAAAAAAAAAAGAAAGGATATGGCAAATTATGACTATAAGTATTTCATAGTCACAAAAATGCATAATTTGTCTAACAAATATGTATTAAGCACTTACATTGCAGGTTTTGTGTTGTTTATATAAATGTATAATGAGGTCTGGGGCTATAGCTCAGTGGCAGAGTGCTTGCATAGCATGTGTGAGGCACTGGATTCCATCCTTAGCACCACATAAAAATAAATAAAATAAAGGCACTCTATCCATTTACAAATACAAAAAAAAATTAAATAAATATATAATGATAAACACAGCAAATATATGTATCATAAATAAATTATGTGACAAATAGGCTTTCTAGAAAGAAAACAAATTCAAGGCATTTCCAAAACCAAGTAGATCTTTGTGTGAAATAAAAACAGACTCTTGGGCTGGGATTGTGGTTTAGCGGTAGAGCGCTTGCCTAGCACATTCGAGGCCCTGGGTTCGATCCTCAGCACCACATAAAAATGAATAAAATAAAGATATTGTGTCCAACTACAACTAAAAACTAAATAAATAAATAACAGACTCTTGGCACAAAATCTTATAATATCTTTTCACTAACAACTAAGCAAAAGAAGAGATTATAATTTAAAGAGATTTACATACTAAGGAATCCACTATCCAATAAATGAGGTGCACATGCCTATAATCCCAGCTACTCAGGAGTGTTAGCCAGAAGGATTGCAAGTTCAAGTCCAGCCTCAGAAATTTAGTGAGGCCCTAAGCAACTTAGTGAGATCCTGTCTCAAAACAAAACAGAAATGGACTGGGAATGTGGCTCAATGGTTAAGTGCCCCTAGGTTCAATCCCTGGTAGCAAAAGAAAAGAAAACATAGTGATATATTATCATGATTCTGAGTTAGGAAAAATCTTCTTAGACATGACATCAAAAGCACAAGCAATGAAAGAAAAAATAGACAAATTATACTTCATCAAAACTAAAACTTTTTGCTTCAGAGGATGATACCATCAAGAAAGTAAAAAGACTCCACAGAACAGGAGAAAATATTTGCAATGTGTCTTTAGAATACATAAAGATGCTGCTACTCAGACTAAAAAGAAAAATAGCCCAATTTAAAAATTGGAAAATGATCTTAACAGACATTTCTACAAAAAAGATAAGCACATGAAAAGATGTTCAAAGACATCTTAGCCATTGGGGAAATGCAAATCAATCTCACTAAAATACCACCTCATCTCCACTAAGATGTCTACTATCAAATACCAGAAAATACCTGGGCACAGTGGCACAGGCCTAAAACTCCAGCAACTCAGGAAGCTGAGGCAGGAAGTTCACAACTTTGAGGACAGCCTAGGCAACTTAGCAAGACACCCTGTCTCAATATAAAAAAAATAGAAAGGGCTAGTAATATAGTTTAGTGATAAAGTGCCCCTGGGTTCAACCCCCAGTGCCTAATAATAATAATAGCAACTGCTGGTGAAGACGAGAAGAAATTGGTACACTTGTACACTGTTGATGGGAATGTTAAATGTGCACCATTTAGTTGTTCCTCAAAAAATTAAGTAGGCTAGGCACAGTGGCACACACCTGTATTCCCAGCAACTCAGGAGGCTGAGGCAGAAGGGATGCAAGTTCAAGGTCATCCTCAGCAATTTAGCAAGTCCTTCAGCAATTTGATAAGACCCTGTCTCAAAATTTTAAAAAAAATGAAAAGAACTGGGGATGTAGCTCAGTGGTAAAGTTCCCCTGGGTTCAATCCCTAGTGCCAAAAAACAAAATTAAAAGAATAATTACCAAATGATCTATTTCTGGGTATATATCCCTAAGAATTGATAACAAGGACTTGATATTTATACACCTATGTTCATGGCAGCATTATTCACAATAGGCAAAAGGTGGAAGCAACCTAAATGTCCTTTGACAGATGAATGGATAAACAAAACATGGTATATACATACAATGGGATATTATTCAGCATTAAAAGAAAGAAATTCTGACACATGCTGCAACATAGAGGAATCTTGAGGATATTATGTTAATTGAAATAACCCTGTCACAAAACCACAAACATTATATGATTCCACTTATATGAGGTACCAATAGTAATCAAATTTATTAAGATAAAAAATAGAATGCTGGTTTCCAGGGGATAGGTGGGGAGGGAGAGTTGTTTAAGGACAATGAGTTTTAGTTTTGCAAGATGAAAAGAGTTCGGGAGAATGGTCGTACAACTATACAACAATGGGAAAATACTTAACACTACCGAACTTTACATTTTTACATTTAAAATGATTAAAATGGTAATCTTAAAAAAAATACATTTTAGTTGTAGATGGACACAAAATATCTTTGTTTAGCAATTTATTTTTTATGTGGCGCTGAGGCTTGAACCCAGTGCCTCACACCTGCAAGTCAAGCGCTTTACCACTCAGTCATAATGTGTGACTTTAGAATACATAAAGATGCTGCTACTCAGACTAAAAAGAAAAATAGCCCAATTTAAAAATTGGAAAATGATCTTAACAGACATTTAAAACGGTAAATTTTATGTTATGTCTATTTTTCCATGATTAAAAAAACAACAGGGCTGGGGAAGTGGATCAATGGTAGATCACTAGCCTGTCATACACAAGGCCCTGGATTCAATTTCTAGCACTGAAAAAAAAAAGTTAGCATAAAAAATAACACAGTGAGATAGCACTTCACACCCACTAGGATGACTATAGTCAAAAAGACATACAAAGCTGGGCACACCTGTAATCCCAGAGGTTCAGGAGGCTGAGACAGGAGGATTGAGAGTTCAAAGTCAGCCTCAGCAAAGGCAAGGCACTAAGCAACTCAGTGAGACCCTGTCTCTAAATAAAATACAAAATACAGCTGGAGATGTGGCTCAGTCACCAAGTGCACCTGAATTCAATACCTGGTACAAAAAAAAAGACATATAATAAAAAATTTCGGCAAGGATATGGAAAAACTGGATCCCTTATACACTGCCAGTGGGAATGGAATCTGATGGTTCTCAAAAGTTTAAAGAGATTAACCACATGATTTAGCAATTTCACACTTAGGTGTACACCAAAGAGAAATAAAAATATAAAAACCTGCAGACAAATACTCAGCGGTAATTCAGCAGTCAAAAGGTAGAAACAATCAAAATGTTCATGAATGAGCAAACAAATAAACAAAATGTTATATATCCATAGAATGTAATATTTTCAATCATAAAAAGTATGCGATATTGACCCGGCACAGTGGTACACACCTGTAATCCCAGCGGCTTGGGAGGCTGAAGCAGGAGGATCAAAAGTTCAAAGCCAGCCTCAGCAATTTAGTGAGGCCCTAAAAGGAACTCAGTGAAACCCTGTCTCTAAATAAAATACAAAATGGGGCTGGGGATGTGGCTCAGTGGTTGAGTGACCTTGAATTCAATTCTCCAGTACCAAAAAAAAAAAGAAAAGTAAGCAATGTTTATACATGCTATAGCATGGATGAACTTTGAAAACATCATTCTAAGTGAAAGAAGTCAGTCACAAAAGACAACATCTCATATGATTCCATTTACATAAAATGTCCAAAATAGGCAAATCCATAGAGATCAAAAAAGTAGATTTAGTGGCTGCCTGGGGGTAGGGGTGAGAAGAGGAAGGGAAAGGGTGTGAGGTTTCCTTTTGGGGTGATGGAAATATTCTAAACCTAACTGTGGCAATTGGTGTACAACTCTATGAAATACCAAAACCCAATGAATTTTACACTTGAGTTATATGGTATGTTAAATATATCTGAATAAAGCTATTATATATGTCTTAGTATTTTACTTTTTATTGATGTATTATGATTATACAAAATAGTGGGATTCACTGTTATATACTGACATATGCACATAATTTGGTCAATTTCATTATCCATTTCCACCCCTTTCCCTCCCCTCACCCCACTTCTGTCCCCCTTCTCTACTCTACTGGTCTCCCTCCTTTTTTCATGAGAATGAGGAATCCTTTTTTATTTTTTCTTCACTACTGGGCGGCTTCCTACTTTGTTGCAAATGGCAAGCAAAAGAACTATTATTTCATGACTATTATGTGCCTAGGACTTGATATATGATATTTTGTTAATTATTTAGGTAGATATTATTAATAATTACATTGTTATTAGGAGGTACGCATT